GAACTTGTATAACTAAACATTCACACAAAAAGTATAACGTGACATAACCCTAACATCGCACGTTGTGTGTTTGTAACGTTAACATGCATTGTTTTGCGTTTTCAGCGTGTATTTGCCTCCATTTTCTAAAATCCATGTGCATTAATTGTTAATGTTGTACAAATACATAGTATTTTCACACTTGGGTACTTTTTTTGAAGTATTGTTGTGAAGTACCGTATTTTTTAAATCTATCGTAATGGCGGTCGCGTGCAACACAATCCATTCATTCAGAAGCCTATCACAATGTGCGTGCGTAGCAATTACGTATGTATTCCAGAACATTTCAAGTGTTTCTTACAAAATAAGTTTACGTTTTCATATGTGGACTTTTAGCATTTTTTATCATGCTTTTGACGCAAAAAAAACATATTGTTTGGCACAATTGTTTAGTTAGCTGCTTGGCTAACTAACGTTAGTGCTATTTTAGCTATCTAGCTAGCTTACTAAGACTACGCCAGATAAAGTCCATCATAAATATCGTTTAGTATATAAGCAGATATTAGTCTTACGGTCGCCATTCCCCCTTCGTTTTCCGTTTTCTGGCGTTTTGTCGCTCTGCCGCCTTCACTGTAAAAGCGAGCCGTTTGTGTCGCCATGTTGTCCCGTTACGATTCACGCGTATCAAAATGAAATGGACGAAAACTACAGAAAATGGGACAGACGTGGCTGACGCCCTTCAGGCAAGAACCGCGAATATTACAGGCGGAAAGCACTGTCAATCACTACTGTAGTCCAATGAAAACAGGAAACATCTACGGTGAGGTCTACGATTGGCCACTGCAGCCTTCATTCTAAACACCGTTCTCTTCGAAGTGATACGGAAGCCCAAAGAGGCATATCTGATGATCACGACTTCATTTTGTTCAGACAAGCTGTGTTTTCAAGATCATGAAAATTCACACATCTACACAAATAGCACGAAACATATAAATATGAATGTACAAAAACAAAATGATAAATAGAATCTGTATATTTTATTAGTATTCTCTGTATGCTCACTTACAAAATAATAAAATAAAATAATTGTATCATTTACTCTACATTTATTTATATTAGTCCAAATCAATTTAGAGAAAGGGACTTCATGCTGAGAGAGGACCAGCTAAAACCAGCTTGACCAGCCCAGCCAGGCTAAAACCAGCTATGTCCAGGTTAAACAAGGCTGGTCAGATTTTAGCTGGTCATTTCCAGGAAATGGCCAAAACCCTTTTAAAACCAGGCTGGTCAACCAGCTAAAACCAGCCAACCAGTCTAGGCTGGTTTAAGCACTTTTGTTTTTCCGCAGGGAACCAATGAACATTACAAAAAAAGCTGACGGTTTTATAACAACACTTTTAAAAAATCGTCTTACAAACAATCCAAACAAGAAGGATTAATATAGGCCTATGTCTTTATTTTTGGTGTGTCAGATAAACTGAAAATGTATTGTCTATTCCATATAATATCAATGAGCCGCCACAAGAAAACATTCCCATATAGCTATGATTTTCTTTTTTATTTGTAGTGTGTGCGCTTACTTTATTGCAAAATCAGGCCTATACATGATATACAACATGCGGTAAAAGCTTTTTGTGACTATTTTCAATTTCATAAGGTTCATAAGGCCTTTTACAGCATCGATGTTGCAATGTAATTCAGATATAATAAGTTAAATAGACTTCCACTTGGTTGTTAAAGCGTAAAAAAGAGACGAAAGACCGTTTAAACACAGGCGCCGTCATTAGCTGCAGGCGAGTGCAGAAATTCCAATGAAAATACTGGGGTAAAATTAAATGTCATATTTTGAAGACATGGCTTGGAAAAATATTATTTAATGTGCTTCGTCTGATACCCACCTCGTATTGTATCTCAGCCAGGCAGTGAAGATCACTGTTTTTTAACAAAAGCGATTTTGTAGGTGCTGACAACTAACCGGAAGCACTGGGGCGGACTGAAATTATAGGTCGATGTGCACATTGGATCCTGTTGTCAAAGCGCAAAGCATTCTGGGAATTTGAGACACAAGCTGGAACCTACCCACATAGCAAAATTTCTCTGGCCCAGCTCTGGCCCACACAATCAGGTTTTGCTTGGCCCACATGCCGCAGTGAATTACGGTACATGACAGGACCAAATCTGGCTTCCAGACAAGGGCCAAACACAGACCATATCTGGGCCAAGTCTCAGCCAAGTTAATAACTCATAACTGGGCCTGAACTGGGCCAGATAGGTTGGTGTGTCACGATTGCAATGAAATTGATAAACCCATGGAGTGATGCGCTTTAGGCACACTATGGGCACGCTTTTTCTCAAAGTGACCTGATTGGTAGAATTTTTTTTCTTTACTCAAAAGTGATTTTAGTGTATTTTAAATGTGGGTCAAGACTGGCCAAACTCACATGGCCCACTTATCAAATTTTTAAATCTGGGCCAAATACTACGTTTTTCATCTGGCCCGAATCTTGTGTGCCGCCTTAAAAACGGTGCCACCTCTGCCAAACCTGGGCCATGTTTGGCCCACATGCTGTATGCCAGTGCCGGATGAATGCCTGATGTGCCAGCTTTTTGCCAAATCTGGGCCAGAATTCTTTGCTACTAGGGTATTGATCTCTATTGATTTATTGTTGAATGTTATTATTGAAATCTGTATTTAAGTATTATATCATCATAACATATCAGGAAGTAAATCAAGGCCAGAATCTTTCAGTCTGTGTATCAAAGATTGCTAACACTAGGCCTATCGCTAACAGCTTTATCGCTAAGAGTAGGCCATCTTCAGAAAATTAAACACCAGTCATCATACTCTAAATGTCTTAAAAACATGAACATATCTTCAGGCAAAACAGACATAATGGAATAAAATAGGCTTGCATACTCAGAGGGTTCATTTTGAAAATCTTGCTAACAATTTTGTGTTTGTTTATGTTTTGTCATTTATATTAATAACTGTAATAATATATAATATAATAATAATTTAGCCAAATTAATATAGAGATACTGATATAATGAACATTTTGTAGGTGACACAAACAGAGACGTTATGCCTCTAGGCCTACCGCAGATTTTTGGCCCATCATTGAGTCTATTTATTTATTTACTTTTGTAAATGTGTGAAAATTTATAGTTATTCAGTTTTTCCATTTGATTTCAGGAATATTACTAATTAATATAAAAGTGTTCCTTTGATTTATTTATAAAACAGTTTGTAAAGTAATATTTTCTGTCTTTTAGCATATATTATATGGGAGACTTGCTTTGTTTACCTAATAAGTGGATCTAGATCAGGGGTGGGCAAACTCGGTCCTGGAGGGCCGATGTCCTGCACAGTTTAGCTCCAACACTAATCAAACTCACCTGAACATGCTAATCAGTGTCTTCAAGATCACTAGAAATCTATAAGCAGGTGTGTTTGATTAGAGTTGGAGCCAAACTGTGCAGGACACCGGCCCTCCAGGATCAAGTTTGCCCACCCCTGATCTAGATGGACTTGCATTGTAAGCTCTAAATACAAGTTAAAAAGGTATTACTTTTTATTTCATTTATTAAGTTTTTAGTTACGATACTCCCAAAATAATTCCGCAAAAATCAGCAGATTTTTTTTAAACTAAATTCTACACAGAAATAGCTAAAATGTCTGCAGATTCCGTCTGTCCCTACTCATGAGTGAATGTAATAATGAACTGAAAAAAAAAAATAATAATAAAATTAGCAACACTAATGTTTTTGAAAATAATTAAAAATATTTTCTGTAATACATTGTTTATATTTTTGAGGCTTTGCTACTGCAGACTATAAATGAGTTTTTTCAAAATTATTATTTTTTTGATTAAGCACTCAAATGAGCCAAAATGTTCAATTATTAGCCTAATTAGAGACAACGAAGATCCATTTCCAAATACAGTGTGTAGAGGGGGTGGTTGAACAAAGGAGTTTCAGGGCATTCAAATGTAAATGGTGGAAAAGAGGGGAGCTGGTCTTTTGCCGCATTCCCGCCTGCTGGGTTGTGGAGTCAATTTGTCTCTGTTTTCGCCTCATGTTTGAATTGTCAAAGACATCAAAATATTTGTGATATCTCAAATCTTACATTGATATAATTACTTTTAGTAGCAGAAATATTTCAATAACAATAAAACTTATAATTTGATTTGGTCTGCCTGTTTTCAATAGAGTAAAACACATAACATTTCATTTTATGGTAAAATTTTCTCAAGTCACAAGTTGATACTATATGTGTTAAAAAAAAAAGCAAGGTGGAAGTGCTGATGTGGTTTAGCTAGCAGAATAACCACAGATCTCATTTTAAACCTGACATGCTAAAATGCTAACTTGAACCAGTTTAGTCTTAGAAAAAGATGTATTTTTTTGCAGAACTCCAGAGCAATTGTTTATCAGCTTTGTTTATCCATTAAATTCTTGGCATTTCTATGTGGAGTTTGCATGTTCTCCCCGTATTCGTGTGGGTTTCCTACAGGTGCTCTGGTTTCCCCCACACCCCAAAGACATGCAGTAGAGTTGAACTGAATAAAATAGATTTGCCGTATGAGTGCATGTGTGAATGTGAGTGGTTATGGGTGTTTCACAGTACTGGGTTGCGGCTGGAAACCGTAAAACATATGCTGGAATAGTTGGTGGTTCATTCCGCTGTGGCGACCCCTGATAAATAAGGGACTAAGGCAAAGGAAAATGAATGAATGAATATTCAATTAAAATATTATAATTTCCCTTACAGCCAAATTTACCTTCATAGTATGACAGATCAAAGGCTGCTCTTGAAACAGTCCCACACACACTTACTCCTGCAATCTATAAAATAATACGGTTCATATGAACTTTGATATAATCTCAATAAAACACACCCTTCATTTAATATAGTATCTTTTGAAATTGTTATTAATTATTAATTAGAGGTCAGATTATCAGAAAGCACTTGATTGAGGACTTTTATTTGCTGCATTGAAATTCTCATGCTGACCACCGAATGAAAGTTTTTGGCTGTTTATTAAAATTGCTTTAATAAATACACACAGCACAACATTAAACCCAGGAGTGAAAAACCAGCTGCCTTTTTGGAGCATTAGTTTTTCTTCTTGAAGACTTGATGGCAGACTTTGTCTTGACAATGAATCTCCTAAAAAGGGAGACGGGGATTATTAGAATAATTATAAACACAAATATACAAAACCTTAATTAAAACACACTTTAAAAGTGGGAAATTGGGATATTTAAAGGAACACTCCAATGTTTAATTTTTTGTATTTTGTTTTGTAAATAGGCTCATTTTACAAGTGAATCCTTATTGAATCATTCAGTAGGTCATCAGGTCTGGTGGGAGCACTTTCAGCTTAGCTTAGTATAAATGATGGAATCAGGTTAGACCATTAGCATCTTACTAAAATATGATCAAAAGTGTTTTGATAATTTTACTATTTAAAATGTGACTCTTCTGTAGCTACATCATGAGACCAATTAAAAATAAAAATCATCGTTTTCATCATCATGGAAGCTGATATTGCAAGGAACTTAAGCAACTTTGGTGCTGTACCCTGGCTGTAGCAGGCACAATGATATCACACAGCTTCTAAAAATACACCACAGTTAGACTCTGCGTAATATCATCGCTCCTGCTGCAGCCATGGTACGGAAGAAAAGTTCTTTGACTATTTTGTCAGAATGAGAGTATAGTTCCTAGCCATTTTGGCCTTGAAAATGGCAACTTTTCATATTCGGTTGGTTTTAGTAGACGGTCTAACTACAGAAGAGTCAAGCTTTGAATAGGAATATTTTTGAAACTCTTTGCTGAAGCAAGATGCTAATGGGCTAATCCAGAGGTGATGGACACACCTGACAAAGAGGCACACATCTGATCAAACTAATTGAGTTCTTTAGGCTTGTTTGAAACCTACAGGTAACGCGGCGGTCACATTAGAGTTTGAGCATGAGAAATTCTGTCGTACGGCACTGCAAAAAGGGACGGATAAAACAAGATGATTCAACATTTAAACAAGCAAGCGTTGGTCCATATTTAAAATTTCTGTACAGAGAGGTCATATTTTGATCTTCGGTTGGTCTCGCGCAGTCACATGCTGCGATTACACAGGTCGGAGTTCACCAAGCTTGAACTTTGCAATGCAGCGAACAGCAAAACTTGTCGCATGAGCTTGCGTTTACAGTCTGACGCATTGGCGTGCATATGAATGGAAGTCTATGGGGAAATAATCCAGTGTGACTGCAGCATAAGTATGTTGGAGTTGAGTTGGAACCAGGGCTTAATTTGTGCCGGAACACGGCGGATCTGGATCCAGCACCTTTGAAATCTAATTCGGCAGCTCATTTTATTGATCCCCCTCCTCCCCCGTCCACTGTTAACTTTCACTTTCTTCTGCGACTCCCCAACCCTCTTCACTTTCGTCCGCGACAACCACCTGCTCTTCACTTTCGTTCTCTGTCCGCGACACCTCTCCACCATCCAACTCCCCCCACCTCACCTGCTCTCTACTCTGTGCGCAACACCTCTCTATCCTCGGGTAACATGCTGGATCCTTTACCCCGATCTGTTCCGGGACCTCGCAATTAATAAATTAGGCATTGCTTGGAATTAAACTGTGCAGGGCTGCGGCTCTTCAGGAACTGAGTTTGTCACCCCCAATTCATTGCAATGATCTATGCTAAGCTAAGCTAAAAGTGATCCCGTCAGACACAGAGATTGTCTGTATGGATTCAGAAAATGGAAAAATGTGACTTGCAAAATGGTACATGCCAAAAAAGTAGAGTGTTTCCTTATGTTTTCTTTATGTATGTATGCATTCCTTTAATCAGTTCTTTACCAAGTGAAGCAAGTCTCCTTCAATCCACTGCTTCCAGCCACGGTTCTCCTTTTCTCCCTTTTGCACACACACCAGTTTATCTCCATCCCACTTTACCAGGGTCTGAAAACAAACAAACAAACAAACATTTTTTTCTCAGTATGAAATTATAAAATATAAATTGGTTTTTACTTGTATGTGTCAGTAACATTTTATTTTATGATCCTGTTTCATGTGTATGTACTTTTCATAGTATTAACAAACACTGGGTAATAACCAGGTATCCATAAACCTACACCAAACCAACATTAACCCATGTAGTTAACTTATAAAACTATAAAACATAAATTAGGCTAAGTATATGGAAGTAAATGTATTGTTAAATACCGTATATGTACTTAATTTACTTACAGTACTAGCACTTAACGTGCACTTATAGTGTATGTAGCTTAGATAATGAAACCACATCATCACCAGAATGACATACATGCTGTCTGGTTTTTAAAAAAACCATAAACTTGTACCATAAAAAAAAACTGTGAAAAAAGCTAAACAACACATTTCTTTACACTATAGAAAGTGAAACTTAAATGTCCAGTCAATGTGATTGCGTGCCAGTGACGTTTTTAGCCTGAGTCTTGCTCAATTGGTGTTTAGACTTAGAATGCACTCACACTATGCTATCTGAACAATGTCCAGGCACGTTTCCCAGTTCATTTGTCAAGTGTGAGTGCTGCAAATCAGCAGCGGTTCAGTTGACCGGAAAGAAGAGGAATACAGTAGGTGTGCCAGAGTGCGGTTCGGTTGGGTTTTGGGGCGGCATGCTTGTAGTATGAGTGCAAAGTGCCCCTGAACCCGAAACTGAAGACACGGCATCACTTTTAAGGGACTGTCCCATATGGATTTATTAATAATTCCCACTTTTCATTGAACACAAACTGTCGTGACGGCTGCATGACAGCTGCACAAACTGAATGACAGCTGCACCTACAGCAAACCTCCTAATACACACAGCAAGAGGACTTTTAAGATAATTTATGAGCGTCAAAATGGTAGATCTGTTCAGCAGAATGTTTGACTGCATGTCACTGCATCCCAAATGACCAAAACTATATATAACTACGGCGATCTAACCGAGAGCGCTTCTATTCCTGTAAAACTGAACAGTTGTATCATTGATGACATTAGCGTGCTCAGGTATGGAAAGTAAAGACAGTGTGAGTGCAGGCTGTCGGGGGACAGGGGAAGGGCGACAACTGCGCTTCGGCACGGTTTAAGGCAGCTGTACTCAGTGAGAGTACTTCCTTACACCCCATTTACATGGGGCGTCATCATCAACGCTTCCTGTTCACTTTGAATGAGTGACGTCAAGCGTTACTGAACTGAATTGTGGATCCGTCAGCGCCGCTTCAGCAGCATTACTCGCTGCAGAAGTTGGGAATTTCTCAACTTTCAAGCACCAAAGGAAACGTCAGCCAATCAGATTACTTTATGCCAGCTCAGACAGTAGCCGATTGCAGACTAATTTCATTGGCTGATGCAGCCCTAACTTCAGACACGCTCTCTGTCAAGCATTGGCACTGAAGCCCCGTGTGAATATGGCATTATACCTAGACTTAAGGCTCGTACACACTGGGATGCTTTTCATTTGCGTTTATCTTTAGCGTTTTTTAGACATTTTTCCGGGTTCAAACCCAAGCAATTTTCTCTGGCATCGAGCAGAAGAATATGCAAAATCACTCCTTCACGTTAGATGGCGCTACACAACCTTAAGCTTTTGACACTCGCTTGTAACGCAGAAGAAGAAGACAGAAAGGTGACAGGCTTGTTGTTATGGATGGTTAAAGTAGCAGCTCCAGCTCTAGCGATGAGAAATGATTATGGTTGACCAGGGCAATAAGCAGCTCCACGTTCATATCGCCTCTGTGCATCTTCTTCAATGTGCGCTCGCATTGACAGTTTTGAGCACCTCCAAGCGCTGTTTACTGTAACTTCAGCAGCTCTGTGCACATGAACAAAAGTCCCAATCTGATTGGTGGAGAAGGTTTTGACGCGATGTGTCAAAACAAAAAGACAAGCATGAGGCGTTATTTTAAAAATGACGCTTTTACACCTGACGTTTTGCACATTGGTGTGCACAATCACATAGGCGCCCTTTTGTTTAGTCACGAGGTGTTAAATGTAGACGGAAAATGCGTGCAAAAAATGTCTCTGTGTGCACGGGCCTTTATACTGCAGCCAGCCACCAGAGGGCGATAAACATCTGTAGGCTTCACTTTTCAGGAAGAGCGAGGCACATTTGCTAGTGTAACGGAGGCCAGCTTGTAAGTGCTGTGCAGGTAAACCTCACTCCTCTGACCTCTAAAAGGTGCTCTAGCGACAGATGCTAGAGGCCATGGTCTTTAGCCTCCTTGTTAGAGCAACCGATTCCCTTGCGGAAGGTCGCCGGTTCGATACCAGCTCGAAGCGAGTTGGGTGGCATAGGACCACCAGGAATACACTAGTTCACACAGCTCACATATTTGCTTTCAAAGTTTCCTTGTTTTTGTTTTTTTTTGCACTAATTTGTCTAGAACAGGGGTGTCCAAACTACGGCCCGTGGGCCATCTGCGGCCTGTGATCAGTTTTGTAGCGGCCCGCAAGGCTTCTTATAAATTTCAATAGAATATGGCCTGCTATACAAAAATGAACGTAATTCAATAAATAACCACCGGGTATCGCTATTACATGCATTCAATTAAGCAGCAGTTCTTGTTATGATCTATCATCTATCTATCTATCTATCTATCTATCTATCTATCTATCTATCTATCTATCTATCTATCTATCTATCTATCTATCTATCTATCTATCTATCTATCTACACACAGTTGAAGTCAGAATTATTAGCCCCTCTTTGATTTATTTCTTCTTTTTTAAAGATTTCCTAAATGATGTTTAACAGAGCAAGGACATTTTCACAATATGTCTGATAATATTTTTTCTTCTGGAGAAAGACTTATTTGTTTTATTTCGGCTAGAATAAAAGCAGTTTTTAGTTTTTTATGAACCATTTTAGATTCAAAATTATTAGCCCCTTAAGTCTTCAATACAAACCATTGTTATTAAAAAACTTGCCTAATTACCTTAACTTGACTAGTTAACCCAATTAATCTAGTTAAGCCTTTAAATGTCACTTCAAGCTATATAGAAGTGTCTTGAAGAATATCTAGTCTAATATTATTTACTGTCATCATGGCAAAGATAAAATAAATCAGTTATTAGAAATGAGTTACTACTATATATATATATATATATATATATATATATATATATATATATATATATATATATATATATATATATATATATATATATATATATATATATGCATGCATGTCTGTGTGATGTATGTAAAATTTGGCCCGGGACAACGTTTTTTTTTTTGCATATGGCCCTCGGCCCAAAAAGTTTGGACACCCCTGGTCTAGAAGGTGGCAATAAAGCCCCAGGCTTCAGCAATTTTGTCAAGTCTGTGTATTTCCTGTAGAAGTCTGCAGATTACAGATTCATTCATTCTGAGGAGCACGGCAAAAAAGTCTCCCCACAGTAATTTATATCAAAGAGGCGCCACCTTTTTGCCTCTGAGTGAAATTTGACTACTTTTAGGAGATAGTACTTGTGTTTTGAGCAGGTTTTCGTTACACATAGCAACCCTGCCATTGATTTACAGTTCAACAAGAAATAAATGAGACAAAAAGACAACAATAAACTGTTGTGTCAAATTGTGTTGAATAGAACCATGGGGGAGAGTAAATGACGAGTACATTTAGGTGAACGACCCCTTTAAAGAGTAAATAATCATGATAGTAAAAAAAATACACAACTATTGAAGGACAATTATTTATTGATGTTAACTATATATAGTTTATTAGTACTATTGCTATTTTCTTCTTCGTTCTTTTACTTTTTGGCACCTACCTTAACAGTTCTGTTGTCCAGGCCTTTTGTCTGCTCGTCAAACTCCTCTCCAATGACGAAATTGACCTCATAGTTTCTGAAGGTGCTGAGAGTTTTGGTCTCAAATTTGTCCCCGTTCTGCACAATGACCTTCGTCTGTTTGAGATGCACTGCGATCTTACGGGTGGCGAAGTCGATGTCTGGAATAAAGTACATTGTTTGTTTTATTGTATTTTTGCGGTAACTTACTAGCAGCACTGTTGCCAGCAAGTTACTGCAACTGTCCCTCTACAACAGGGGTGTCAAACTCAATTCCTGGAGGGCCGGAGCCCTGCACAGTTTAGTTCCAACCCTGCTCCAACACACTTACCTGTAGGTTTCAAACAAGCCTGAAGGACTCAATTAGTTTGATCAGGTGTGTTTAATTAGGGTTGGAACTAAACTGTGCAGAGCTGCGGCCCTTTTGGAACTGAGTTTGACACCTGTGCTCTACAGCAATGGTTCTCAAAGTGGGGGTCAAGACCCCCCAAGGGGTCGCGGGACAATGAAGGGGGGTCGCCTGGTGGTTTCCAAAAATCTATTTATTTTTATTAAACCATAAGAATAACCATATTTTATCCATAACCTTCTGAAGAGAAAAAATTGTCGTTTATACCATATATAGTTACTATAGTAGCTTATAGTTACTACCTCTATTGGATTGCAACGCCTGGGGTAATTACATTGTATTAAAGACACAGCAATAGCGTCAGATGCAGCAGATTTCATAACACCCGGTTAAACTTTGTGGCCCATTTCCAGCTCTCATACATTAAAAAAATTAAAAGAAGAATAGACTTGGGTCCATTGGTGTGTGTGCTCCATTGCATGCAAGGTTTCTGTATTTATAACCACCTCAGAGGATATTGGGGGTCGCGAGTCACTGGCATTGACATTTTACTGGTCGCGTCCTGAAAAGTTTGGGAACCCCTGTTCTACAGTAACTTACCTGTTAATGTGTTTTACAGTAGCAGGGCCCTATTGCAATTTCATTTTAACATAAAAGAGCCATCCCACAACTTTTTTCTAGGGATTTCCTTTACTGTATTTTACAGCATGGCAGTTTTTACTGAACTTTTACTGTAATTTATTTACGCTACACTAGAATTAAAAAAACCTTTATTTTAGTATTTACTTTTGAATTTCAATCAAGAGACAATGTTTGTTTTATTAACGGTCTCATTTTTGTCACCAAGTACAGTAGCAGAACTTGATTACAGTAGAATACTGCAAACTCCTACACAGTAAAAATGGCAGTCATTTCAATGGTAAAAAACTGTAAAAATGCTACAGTACAAATCTGTAACCTGGTTAACGGTATGTTTCCTTAATATATACGGCGAATAACCGTAAATTGACTTTCCCAGAATTCCCTGCATGGCACATCACTTTTTATGCATTTGGTTGACATTAATATGGATCTTTTTAGTTGTTTCCCCATCAGTTATGTACATTAGAGATTTATGTTGCATCTAATGTTGATAAACAATGTGTATTTCATGACTTTAATTTTATGCGTGTTACCATACTGGTGTTTAGTAGCTGTGTGAATGACACTGAGCACCTTCTAAATGCTGATACTCTTTTCTGCTTGTGGGAAAAGTTGTTTGTGATGAGCATTGGCTCATTATGTAACTTCCTCATCACCACCTGCATATGGGTGTGCTAACGTATCTAACTGTTTCACAAAAGATGTGTAGATGTTGATCATTCAAAATACAGACATTTTACCTCTATTAATTAATAAAATACAGTAATTTACCGTAAAAATGAAAAATTACTTTTACGGTTTGTACCGTATTTTTAACGGTAAGGTACTGGCAACCACAGCTGCCGTTTTTTTACCGTAAATTTTACGGAATTATTTTTTACAGTGTAACATGCAGTAAATTACTGTAAACATTTTAAAATGGCCCACCATCTAGTGCATAATACAGTAGTGAACGGTAAAGATTATATGCAGCATTTTACAGGGTGTTTTGCAGTAAATTACTGTAAAATTGTACCAAAAAACTGTAAAAGGTCTAACAGTGTAATATATCAAAGGCATAGTTGACCCCAAAAAAGATAAACAACTCTCAAGTGGTTCCAAAACATTATGAGTTTCATTTTTTTCTGTTGAACACAAAAGAAGATATTTAGAAGAATGTTAGGAACTTGTAACCACTGACTTCCATATACAGTAGGTGAGAGTTCAATATGACCATTACCGCCGCACAATCTACTGCCGCCGCTTAAAAAAAAAGAACGTGTTTTTAAGGTATGACCGCAGTTTGCGACTATGCCGCTAGGTGGCACAAAGGAATGGGATGCAAACGGACAGAAATAGACAATACATTAGCTGTAAATACTCTGCTACTTGTAAATAAAGATAAACAATGAAACAAAGCATTATAAGTCCTTCATTAATCATTAAAAAGACAACCAGGCAACATTATTGAAAGGAATAAAGAATAACAAATAATGTTTGGAGTGAAGTGCTTAAGTCCGCTATAGGCCTACATCAGCACCAAAACACTAATTGCCGTGAGATTGTGTTGGTTTGTTTAATAAAATAATAATAATCTAGCCTAAATAAAATGAAAGGAAATATTCACAGTTTCATAGAAACCTATATTAACTGAAAGAAGGATATTTCAGTAGGAAAAACAAACTAGTGAAGTACAGATTTCCAACATTTCTCAAAATATCTTCTTTTGAGTTCGACAAAAGAAATTCAAATCGATATTTTTGACAAGTGAACCATGACATAATTTTATTTGAGGAATGATTGGGCAAACAATCCTCTGTATTATTATGTGAATGTAGTGAAAAGGAGCTTTGGACTCTGGGGACGCTGTGGAAATAGGGTCATATTTCATCGGATTATGCAACAGATTGACAGAATAGATCTCAGACACTTTTGCACACTGGGTCAAAGGTGGCTGAAGTGTTCAAGTTCGCTCATCTGTCAACTTTATCAAAGAAAATTGATAAGATACTGTGACCTGGTGTGAACTTGGACCCTGGAACAAGTGCCAGTTATTTTATCATTGAGTTAAGATTATGATTTTTAATAAATTAACTATAAACACTGTAAATAATGCAGGATTCCACACAATTCATTCATGTTGTCCCAACACATATTAAGTTCACTTAACACTTTTAACAAATTTATGTGGAGTGAGCATAAAAAAAATAAAGTTGTCCCATCGTGTTGTTTCAGCAGATTGTAATTAAGTAGTAATTAAGTTTGAACGAGCAAATTAAAATAATTGTTTGAGTGTATAAGCTGCTCTTGGGTGGATCGTCTTTCAACAATGACACCATCATCACAGTATTAAAGGGAGGATTCACATCTAAATAAATCTGTCATCATTTGCAGAGCTCACCTGTTACTTGTTTCAAATTTCGATGAGTTTGTTGAACACATAAGAAGATATTTTGAAAAATGTTGGAAACCTGTCACCATTGACTTCCATAGTGTTTGTTTTTCCCTCTATTGAAGTCAACGGTTACAGATTTTCATTTTTCTTTAAAAATATTATGTGTTCAACAGAAGAAAGAATAGAGTGAATCATAATTAAATGTACATTTTTGGGCAAATAATCTCTTTAAATTTAACTGACTTCATTTTGATCTAGCATTTTAACCACTAGTTATGCTGAATAAGTCACACAAATTTAAATATTGTTATGGATTTTAGATTAATTTTTTTATTTGTTGACTTTGACATAGTCTACATAAAATGATAGAAGTGAAATGACTAATAATTAACATAATTGTATACATTTTGTTGCAAATAATTTTAAATTGTTAGTGCATTCGTTCATACATTTTCTTTCCGGCATAGTCCCTTTATTAATCAGGGGTCGCCACAGTGGAATGAACCGCCCATTTTAGAACGGTGGTACTAAAATGAAATTGGAAAGCATGTTATGGGAACTAAAATAAATTAAATGAAAAATTTAAGTCACTTGATAAAATAATTGTATAATCTTTTTTGATTAAAAAATGCTGCATTATATTATTATACCGTAATTTACATATATATAAATATATTTTTTTCTTGTCTTTATACTTCATCACTAAAGTCTTTACCCATTTTTTTAGTGTGTTTTCATCAATTATGTACAGTTGAAGTCAGAATTATTAGCAAACCCCCCCCTGAATTAATTTTTTTTATATATATTTCCTTATGATATTTAACAGAGCAAGAAAATTTTCACAGTATGTCTGATAATATTTTCTCTTCTGGATAAAGTCTTATTTTTTATTTTGGCAAGAATAAAAGCAGTTTTTAAGTTTTTAAAAATAATTTTAGGATAAAAATTATTAGCCCCTTTACGTTAAATTTTTGAATGTCTACAGAACAAACCATCGTTATGCAATGACTTGCCTAATTAGCCTAACCTGCCTAGTTAATCTAATTAACCAAGTTAAGCCTTTAAATGTCACTTTAAGCTGTATAGAAGTGTCTTGATAAATATCTAGTCAAATATTATTTACTGTCATCATGGCAAAGATAAAATAAATCAGTTATTAGAGATGAGTTATTAAAACAATAATGTTTAGAAATGTGTTGAAGAAATCTGCTCCCCGCTAAACAGAAATTGGGGAAAAAAATAAACGGTAAATAATAATTCTGACTTCAACCGTATATGTAAAAATGTGTTGAACTGTTTAATATATTTTATTAAGAACAGAGAATTTTGCACAAGTAACTGCATTATTATTTCACTCCTATTTTAACATTTTAATAATAATAATAATCATAATACATGGCGGTTCATTCCACTGTGGCGACCCCGGATTAATAAAGGGACTAAGCCGACAAGAAAATGAATGAATGAATGAATGAATAATATATATTAACAATAATAATGATATTAAAAAGATCAAATGCTTTTGCAAAATAAACATTGCCTATACGTAAGCATGGATATTATGCAAACCCAATACGATTAGGCTGTTAAAAATAATATGACAAAAAGTCATGACAACAAATGTTCTTATGTAACTTTACCTTATTTTATTAGGCTAATCAGGTATCCACTAATGTTTTTAAGTTATAAAACTCAACTTCACATGGTAAGTTGAGATGACTAATGTAGTTTGATTAATAAAAAAGTAAGCTGCAAGAATGTTTTTAACAGTGCACTTTGCGCTAGATCCTCTTCTTAAACTTGGTGATTCTGCAACAACTGCGCTTTCTTTTAAGCAGGATTACAGCGAGCTCGATCCACTAAGACCTACATAACCTATATGAACCTACTGTATAAGAGCCTGATCTGCGTCTTTGGTGATCCAGTCCATCTAATCCTCTCCATAACTTTATTCAAGCACTGTAACAAATGCTGGATTCAACACAATTGATTCGTGTTGAGTCAACATGAAGGAAATAATTGACGTATTAGTTTGTACAAATTTAAGTGGACTGAACATAAAACAATTAAGCTGCCCCCCCCAACCCACTTTAAATAAGTAGTGTGAACAAACAGCAAATGCCTGAGTGAAGAAACAACTCACCCAAAGCCTTCATGACATCTTCAAAGTTGTCATTGCTGAGCATCTCCCACGTGCCGTTGAAATCGGCTGGCATTGTGAAGCTGGATGTGCTGGTTTGTATATTTCAGAAGAGTAGGATGAGGTGAACCGTGGCCTTTTATAGCTGTGTGTGTGTGAGATCAAATGACCCGTAAGGACAGAGTTCTTTTGATAAGACCCTTTATCTCCACTAAATGAAGGGGTGGGCTTTAGAAAGGGGATGTACTTGTGTCAGCTTTTTTTTTAATATGCTCTCAGGGAAAGTCTACAGATATTGCAGTTGTCATGAAGATTTTCAGGCTTGTGACAGCGGCGTCTCGCATTTTCACATCGCACACTTCCTCCTAACTATTTTAAATCAGCTCTTTTTTTTTTTTTTAAATGCTTCTATATTTATTGTGCGTATGTTGTTGCTGATTTTGATTTAAACGACTGCTTGGAATCTTCGCCAAGCAAACTTACAGTGCGCTATCAAAAATAAAGGTGATAGACCAGGGTTTAAATATTGCACCTGAAATGGTCTATACTGGTACATTGGTACCTTAAAAGTACTAATTAGTCCCCTCAGTGTACATGTTCATTCATTTTCTTGTCGGTTTAGTCCCTTTAATAATCTGGGGTCGCCACAGCGGAATGAACCGCCAACTTATCCAGCAAGTTTTTACACAGCGGATGCCCTTCCAACCGCAACCAATCTCTGGGAAACATCCACACACATTCACACACACACTACGGACAATTTAGCCAACCCAATTCACCTGTACCACATGTCTTTGGACTGTGGGGGAAACCGGAGCACCCGGAGGAAACCCACGGGAAGGCAGGGAGAACATGCAAACTCCACAAAAGCCGAGGTTCGAACCAGCAACCCAGCGACCTTCTAGCTGTGAGGCGAACGTGCTACCCACTGCACCACTGCCTCGCCCCAGTGTACATGTTAGTACTTATAAAGTACAGGGTACTGCTCATGTGACAGCTCTCGTATTATTTCTGAGTGTATGAACTTGTGCAGATTTTCACTTAAAATGCTCATGATTTTATTTAAATCTAAAGAAAATTGATTAGCATTTCCAATGTTTGAGTAAAGAATGAAATGCTTTGTAAATGTGTGATTAAAGGTTGATAGTACTAAGATAAATGCAGGACACATAAGATGGATCTGCCCTTCAGTGTTTGGACTGATCATTAGTGACATTTACATTAAACCAGTGGTGTAAAGTAACACATTACAAATACTCAAATTACTGTAATTAAGTAGTTTTTTCTCAGGAATTGTAATTTACTGAGTAGTTTTAAAAATCTGTACTTTTACTTTCCCTTGAGTACATGTTTAGTGCTGTATCTGTTCTTTTACTCCACTACTTTCCTTCAACCTGCAGTCACTACTTGATTTTTTTCTTGTCTATGAGGATTAGAAAAATCAGTCCTGTGATTTTTGTCCAATCAAATCGCATATATAAGGTAAATCGCCTCATAATGAACTACCTCAAGACATGGGTGATTTATAATTGCAGCAAACTGTTTGGAGGCATTAAAAGTGTCTGAGAGGATTTTCAAAATCGACACGCATTGACCCAGTGACTGTTTAGATGGATGTCCTACTGATGAGAAGATGACAGATGTTTACTGTATGATGATTTAATTGGTCTTTAACACCCATCAGGCACAAGACGTCAACATTATATCAGATTGACGTTGTACCTCAACGTCATGGAGACATTGCAGTTTGTTTGGAAATAAAAATCAGGTTGACGTCAGAACCGTCAGGCCGACATCAATGTCCAAACCTAAAATCAACCAAATATCAACGTCTAATGATGTTACAGCTTGACGTTGATGTTGGATTTTGGATGCCAGTTTCAGTATTTTTAGATGTTGGCTTGATGGTGGATTTTGCTCACTTTCCAACACAACCTAAAATCAACCAAATATCAACGTCCTTTGATGTCGTTATTGAACATCAAAATAATGTTGTCCTTAGACGCTGGCCACACATCGAATTTTGTTCATCTGACATCAAAACCTAAATGTAACCTAATATTAATGTTTTTTTATGTTGTGTGCCTGCTGGGCAGTAACTGAATGCACTACAGAATGTTACGTTTACACATAGACAAATGACATGTAAACACATCAGTTTTGTACAGCGTAATACTCACTACCCTTTTGAAAGGTCTCTTTTTACTCATTGATTCATTCATTCATTTTCTTGTCGGCTTAGTCCCTTTATTAATCTGGGGTTGCCACAGTGGAATGAACCGCCAACTTATCCAGCAAGTTTTGGCGCAGCGGATGCCTTTCCAGCCACAACCCATCTCTGGGAACATCCACACACACACTCATCCACTACGGACAATTTAGCCTACCCAATTCACCTGTACCGCATGCCTTTGGACTGTGGGGGAAACCGGAGCACCCGGAGGAAACCCACGCGAAGGCAGGGAGAACATGCAAACTCCACACAGAAACACCAACTGAGCCGTGGTTCGAACCAGCGACCTTCTTGCTGTGAGGCGACAGCACTACCTACTGCGCCACTGCCTCGCCTCTTTTTACTCATACTTTAAGTAATATCTACAACAGATAATTTTGCTCTACTTGCTGTACACTTTTAGGCAAGTAATGGTACATTAACTTAGGTATGATTTGTCAGTACTCTTTCCACCACTGCATTAAACAGAGGTTTGACAGAGGTGGCACCGTCTTTAAGGCGGCACGCCAGACATGGGCCAAATGGCAAATGCAGTATTTGGCCCAGATGTTAAAAATTAATATGTGGGCCATGTAAGTTTTGCCTATTATGACCCACATTTAAAATATATTTAAATTGTTTTTTGAGTAAAGAAATATTTTGATGCACAAAGTCATTTCCATCTTTCTGTTTGCATCTTCTAATGCCTTCATTTTAATCCAGGAAACAATCAAGATTTATTAATCTATTGTTTCCTGTATGTTGCAAATTTAACCTACATTACATATAATTCATTAACCAAATTATTATTTACTAATTATATTATTATTATTATTAACCATTAAAAACCATTACTAATATTATTGCGCCTAAAGCGCAATGCTTCATGGGTTTATCAATTTCATTGCAGTCATGATACACCAAATAATGACAATGGCCAAACATGGTCCATATTAGCTGGCCCAGTTCAGGCCGAGTTATGGGTTATTAACTTGGCTGAGACTAGGCCCAGATATGGTCCATGTTTGGCCAGACTTGGTCCAGTCATGTAACGTAATTCACTGCGGCACGTGGGCCAAGCAAAAGCTGACTGTGTGGGCCAGAGCTGGGCCAAAGAAATGTTGCTAAGTGGGATTGGCTTGGTATTTATTTTTCCTATTGATGCTTACAGGTTTCTAACATTCTTCAAAATAAAGTGTTCAACAGAAGAAAGAAACTTAATTATTAGAAGAACTTGAGGGTGAGTAAATAAAGAGAACATTGTCATTTTGGTTGAACTATCCCTTTATCAGTAATATAACACTGCACCACTTGCATTTATGGATTTGTCAGTGCCACAGTAATACCGGTGAAAGTATAAGGCACATGATGATAAGTTCCCGAATTGATAAAAGTCTTTATACTGGATTTGATCTCAGTGACCTTGAGACAAATCACACTCATTATCAGCTTAGCACACAAAGGTGTGTAAAGCGCCATCTTTTATCATTAAATCAGTCATCACAACATAACGCAACCACTTCACAGATTTCACCATGGTCTACCACAAACCGCTATAATATTTTTACTACAATGTAATATATTAGTGTAATGACATTTACCTTTTTTTTTAAATGCACTGTAAAAATTAGTTTGTATTTTATGATTTATGGTTTTTCCCTCACGTATTTATGCTTTTGAATTGCATCATTGAATCTTAATCTTTCTCCCAACAAATTTTAAACTTGAAAAGTAAATTAAGAGACTTTTATTAACATTTTTGATACTTTAAAGTGAGATATTGATTATTTTTTATACATTATATTATTTGAAACTACTACAATGTCAATAATAGTCTTTTTTTTAAGAGTTGATTTTTCAACATCAAAAGTCGACAGAGCAGAGATCAACATCCCATAATGCAATTCACAACCATAAATAAAGAGAAAGCACTTGTGAATCACAAAATATGGAAACTGTTTTGTACAGTGTGGGATCTGATGTTTTTGTTGTACATCCTTTATTAAAAATTTGACCATGCACCTTATCATGGGACAGACAATAAATGTGTGGTTGTCAAAAAAGCGGTTATGATCAAATATGACCTTTAGACAATACTTGTGTTAAATGTCACGCTGTAGGCAAGACAAAACCAAGAATTAAGTCCAAAATTTGACCAGATCTCCTCAGATCAGATCCACAATTACTGCCTAAATTGTCTTATATTTAATCAATAATTGCAATCACAATAATAAGAACCTAGCTTTCCCATGTGGTCTCCCATCCAGGTACTGACCGGGCATAGCCCTGCTAACATTTTCATGTAAAAACTGATTTATACTTCTGCGTCAAGTGCACACAGATGGTCTGGTGCAGCCTTTGCATACTCTTTGCCATGGCTCAAAACATGTAACTACCCATTGCGACCGTGCTTATTGTAAGCTCTGTGATTGGTCAGCTTAATATCATTTTTGAGTGTGGGTGGGGCCGAGACCCGTGAGCCCATTAGAACAAGTGTTTAACAAGTGTGGCGTCCCATGGAAGGAAAACTTTTGTTTTGTGTTAACCTTTTGATTAACGTTGTTGCACGTCTACCGTTTCCCACCTCTAAATGAGTGAGTTTAAGCTACTTGTACAGTATGGTTTCATTAAAAAACACCTGCGAAGACACTCCTCTAGGTAACGTTAACAGAAGTGTTATTGCAGAGCTTCACAAACAGAATGCAGAAGTATAAATGCACAATTGGCGTCCATTTATGCAAGCAAGGCATGCGCCGTGGGTAATGTCGATCACTCGACGCAGGATTCAGCCTTAAACATGAAACTTCTTTAAATGCAAAGGAAAACTTTTACATTTTGGATACATTCTTGTCATGTAAATGCAACCTATGAACTGCTCTGCTTTGGTT